TATAACTAAGGTAACTATACTTATGACCTCAATTAGGGGACTTATAACCTTACTTACTAAGTCCCATGATCCTCCAAGTAGACCCTACCCCAAAACTCGGGTGTCAAATTATTCCGTCAGACGAAGGGGGTCAGACGAAGGGGTTCGTAGCATTATCCAAAATCAACATCACTCATGACAAGTTCACAACAGCAGGCGCAACGCCTGGGGCAAGTGCATTCACTTTTGCCATGTCGCTCAAACTGCACTTCCACCCAAAACCCTAAACCCTCAACCGTAAAACCGCGAGGAGCAGAAGTGGGGTCCTGCTGGTCATCCAGTGGTCTCGCCTGCGCTTCAAAGAGAACGTACTCCTGCAGCTCCTGGCCCCCAAAGTTTAGGGTAGGGTTTAGGGTTTAGGGTTTAGGGTTTAGGGTTTAGGGTTTAGGGTTTAGGGTTTAGGGTTTAGGGTCGAAAGTTTAGGGTTTCGGGTTGAGGGCCCTAAACCCTCAACTCTGAACCGCAGCCCCTAAATCTTTGAACTCCAAACCTCTAAACCCAAAACCACCAAACCCTAAACCTCTGAAACAGTAAACCCTAACCCTAAACTCTAAACCCCTAAACCCCAGGATGATGAAATCCTAGGCCTCTCTTTAACCCTCAGGGAGCAAAAGCCCTGACAAAGCCAGTTGAGCAAAGCCTTTTTTCTAGGTTGGTCCTTTTGGGTTTAGGGTTTGGGGGTTTAGGTGTTTAGTGCTTGTGGTTTAGGCCTTTGAAAAAGAGAAACGTTTGCAAATCAGATCCTCTTATGCCCAATAGTTGGAAATCTGAGAAGTCCCAAAGGCCTACCAAGCTCTTCCTGTCAAGCTTCAACACATTGCAACAGGTCTGGTGGAGCCTGGAGACTTCGTGAGATCTACCTGGACCCTGGAGAACGTACCATTAGACTGCTCACATGGCTACTCAACAAAGTTGGCGCTACGAAAAGCCTTCTTGCAAAAACGCCCTGCAACCCCTCTGAAACCCTTAAAAACCGTGCCAAACCCTATACGAACCCCTTTCACCATATGAAACCCTGTAAAACTCGACCAAACATGGGCTGTGGTCCGTTCAGAGTAACCCGAGGCATTTCAAAGGAACTGAGCCCTGCCTTTGCAAAAATTTGACTTGGACATAATCTGAACCGGCTAGGGCGGGCGGCGGGTGGCTTAAATGCTGTCCGCTGATAGGTCACGTGCCTTTGGCTTGCTCTTGGTGTGGGCGGTTGATTGTCTGGCTGAGCCGAAATTAGCATCATGATTTCCGATCATGATGAGCAAACTCCACCCACCTCATCTGTGTGGCCAAAACTGGCCACCATTCGGGCAGAAACCCTCAAGCTCCACACTCTAAAACCCTGAACCCGACGCCCTCAACCTAAAACTCGCAGATAGAACCCTTCAGAAGCCCCTCTAAAGAGCCCTCGGTCTCAGTCCTAGCCAAAGAAACCCTCGAACAGGAACCCTAAACCCTAAACCTGAACCCCTCAAAGGAACCCCGTCTTCAGTAGCTCCCCCGCCCCGCTCCTCGTCCGCAGCTAAGGCCGCGTGGATGCCATCGGCTGCGATGGGCCGGACCTCGACATCTGACGGTTGAGGGCTTAGGATTTAGGATTTAGGGTTTAGGGTTTAGGATTTAGGGTTTAGGGTTTAGGATGTAGGGTTTAGGCTTTAGGGTTTAGGCTTTAGGCTTTAGGGTTGAGGGTTGAGGGTTGAGCGTTTAGGGTCTAGGGTTTAGATTGATTGTTGCAGGGATTCAGGGTTGAAGGGTTTAGGGTCCACCTAAGGGTTGTTAAGAAGGGTCTTATGGGGTTTACGCTGGTTTAAAAGGAAGGGTCGCAAAAGATGTTGTGAGGGTGTTTTGAAGGGCTTTAAAAGGCTGCCACAATGAGGCGGTTACAATAGGGTAGTATAGATGCCTAAACAGTAGGATAAGGCTTGGACGCACATGCTGGTATAAGTACAACAGACATTACAAGGGAATACTAATGCTGGTTATGCAAGCTTGTAAGTCTCAAGGCGTTGCGTAAGGCGGTCTCTGAAGGTTGTGCAACGGTGTTTAGATGGAATCTGCGAGGGGTTCACAGGCGCTTTAAGGTATCATGTAGGGGCCTTAATAATTGGCATAGGGTTTTGGGGGTTCCTTTTTGCTATTACTACTATCGTATAATATACCCCCAAGCCCTACTCTAACCATTAAGGCCCCTATTTTGTAGGTTCTGGACGTTTAAACGGCCTACGGTCCGGACGGCAGGCTTCGGGCAACCCGAATCAGGTTTCAAAACCTTAAACCCTGAAGCCCTAAACCCTGAAAGCCTAAACCCTAAACCCTAAACCTTAAGCCTGAACGCTAAACCCTGGGTTTGGGGTTCGGCGGTTTAGGGTTACGGTTTAGGACCTCGAAGATACATTAGTGCTTCATGCAGGGCTCATAATTACTGGGTTCCTTGAGAGGTTTGGACTGGGTTCCTTGAGAGGTTTGGTAAGGGCTCTAAAGAGGTTCTACAATAAAGGTTTAGGGTTTATGCCGCACTTCTTCACGAAAAGTGTTACGCAGCTTCGACCCCCCTCCGTTACTCGCCAGGTTCTGAACCCTGTACCAGCTCTTGATGTAGGTGCCTCCTCAATCAGATGTATGCAGCCCAGAGGCTCCACATATACTACCATTATGGAATCAGAGATAATCAGGTCCCCAAAACCATAACATGGATGGTCTTTGGGACTCATTCCATAGTGGTTATATATATATATATATGGAGCCTCCAGGTAGGCTTCTATAGCACGCTGCGCCTCAGAGGGAACCCCCGAAAATCCCGGGGCCGACTGCAAACATAGCGTCCCGAGGCACTGCTTGTGGGATTCTGAGAGAAGTTAAAAAAGACGACGTCATGATTCAAATCTAGCCAAAAAATCAAAATACGCCGATAGAGCCTTCTCTGAAAGACGATTCTACGAATACTGATTCTTTAGATGTCTTGTATGGTTGTAGTTATACAACCATGCATGCATATGTGTATATACATATATATATATATACACACACATGTATATGCATCTGTATATATATATATATATGTGTGTGTATATGTATGCATGCATGTATGTATGTATGTATGTATATGTATATGTATATGTATATGTATATGTATATGTATATGTACACATACACATATATATATATATACTGAATATGCTCTTAAACGTTTGTGCTGATACCTCTGCTTTCATCTACGTCGTTTCTATTGGTGTAGGCAGCTGCTTGTTTACCGGGAGCCCGAGGCCCGGACCGAGACGGTCTCCATGCCGGCGGCCAGGAGGGCTTGGCCCAAGGAGTCCTTGTCCTTCCGTGTTTTTGACAGGGTTGAAGGCATAGGGCTTATAGGAACTAGCTTTTAGGGTTTAGGGTTTAGGGTTTAGGGTTTGGGGTTGAGGGCTTAGGGGCTTATGGGTTTAGGGTGCAGGCTTTAGGGTTTTTTCTATCACCTCCTTCCTTCGCCTGACAAAAGTGTCCGGAATACCATGTTGGTGGAGGGTTTAGGGTTTAGGGTTTGGTGTTGAGGGGTGAGGGTTTAGGGTTGAGGGTTTAGGACTTAAGTCTCAAGGTTTTTGGGGCTCATGCCGCTGTCTAGAATCCTTTCGCAAGTTTCAGCCCCCTAAACCCTAAACCCTAAACCCTAAACCCTTAAAGGAGTCTGGACAAGAAAGCCCGAGGGTCCATGCCCGGGCGGTAGTGCAACGGCACCAGCAGAAGCGCCGACCCTTGCGGTTCGGAGGTCACGACTTAAGGATTCCAGGGCTAACCCTAAACCCTAACTAGACCCTAAACCCAAACTAGACCCTAAACGCTACTCCCTAAACCTAAACCCTAAACCCTAAACCATAAACTCTGATCCCTAAACCCTAACTAATCCCTAAACCCTGAAACCCTAAGTAAACTCTAATCCCTGAACCCGTTGCGGCTTTGCACTTCAAGGTTGGGGGTTTTAGGGTCTGAAAGCTGAGGCCCTGAGGTGTAGGGCTTCTGGGGTTTAGGGTTTAGGGTTTAGGGTTTAGGGTTTAGGGTTTAGGGTTTAGGGTTTAGGGTTTAGGGTTTAGGGTTTAGGGTTTAGGGTTTACCGGTGTGCAGTTTGGGGTTTAGGTCTGAGGTCTTTGGAGTTTAGGGCTTAGGGCCTTTAGGGTGCAGGGTTTTAGAGGTTCGGGTTTAGGCTTAAAGGGTTTAGGGTTTAGGGTTTAGGGTTTAGGGTTTAGGGTTTAGGGTTTAGGGGTTTAGGGTTTAGGGGTTTAGGGTTTAGGGGTTTAGGGTTTAGCGTTTAGGCCTCGAGGGTTCTACAGGGTTTTCTGCTAGCACAGAATGTAGGTGGGGTGTGCAAATCTTGGGGTCGCCTACTTTGTCCCGTACTAAAGCACTAATACGGTTAAGGGTTTAGGGTTTAGGGACCCCCCCAGCCCCACCCCCCGCTGTTCTTCAACGGCCATAACATGTGGATCCTGATTCACTCCTTTTAGGCAGGGTTACTTCAAACCTTAGGCCCTGAACCCTCAAACCCAAGGCGCCCAACCCGAAGGTGAATACCTTAAAACCCGAAACTATACACGCTAACACCCCAGACGACAAACCCATACAATAATACTCCCTATACACCCCTCAGACCTACCCAGAACTTCCAAACTCCCGTAACAAAGGAATATGACTGAAATCATAAAGTCCCTAATGTAATCCGAAGTATATCCTGAACTAAGGGATTTTGGAAGGTCTGGGTACATCCCTGAATCTCCTAAACCCTTCAGCGCTCCAAAGCCAAGCAGCCGCCGTTGGGCAGCGACGCGCGGACCGCCCGGGCTACCTCCTGCTGAGAGGCAGCGCCGTAGAGGATGTCGGCTGCAATGACGACCTCACATGGAGCGAAATGGATAAGGTATGAGTAAGGACATATTCAAAGTGAATGCAATAGGGATGTTGTAGGTCCCAAATAGAACCGACTCACTGCGTCCCCTAAATCCTCAAGCCTAAACTTTAGACCCGTGATCCGAAAAGAAACCCCAAAGACGCCCCATGTGATGCCACCACAGCGTCTGTGGCACTGCAAGACAGCGCAAGGCTATGGACCGCCTCGATATTTCGGAGGTCAAGCAACTCCACCTGAAGGAGGGTCCATATTAGGGTCTTATAGGTGTTTATTGGGCTGTATTCGGGTTTAAAGCCACTTGGGATATGCTAGTTTTAAAGGTTTCTAGAAGGCTTTCGTCGGGTTTTGCGCCGCAAAACCCTAAACCTTAAACCCTGAACCCTAAAGCGGATAGGCTTCATCAGCAACTTTACCGGGCTCGAGCTTCCTTTCGTGCTTTGGTGAATGTGTAGACGGCTCCTTGGAGTCATGGATTCGGTTTCGGGCTTAGGGACCCTTAGGGTTTCGGGTTGAGGGTTTAGGGACCCTTTAAGGTTTCGGGTTTAAGGTTTAGGGTTTAGGGTTTAGGGTTTAGGGTTTAGGGTTTAGGGTTTAAGGTTTAGGGTTTAAGGAAACTTAGAGGGTTTCGGGTTGCGGGATGAGCACACCGTGAAGCTTTCTGAGGGAGCCTAGCAAGCATGCACCTACCTTCCTGAACTATGGATTCTGGTCCTCAAAATCCCCGAACCACAAACCCGATACCCTAGAACAACAATCCTATCTACCCGATAAACCCAAAAACCCAAATAAAAAAAACCTAAGACCCCAAAACCCTAAACCCTAAACCCCAAAACCCGTAAAATGTATGAACGTGCGAAAAACCCCATTCCCAGCGCCAGGCCCTGCCGTTGGATGCCGCGCCCCCCGTGTAGCGCAGGTTCAGCGCCTCAAGGGCTGCAGGTTCGTGGGGTTAGGGGTTTACTTAAAGGATCATGGGACTTAGTAACTTGGGTTATAGACAAGGTAACTATACTTATAACCCCAATTGGGGTACTTATAACCCTACTTACTAAGTCCCAAGATCCTCCAAGTAGGGTCGAAGGGTTGCGGGCTTAGGGTTGAAGGGTTCAGGGTTTAGGGTTGAAGGGTGGAAGGGTTGAAGTTGAGGGTTCAGGATTTAAGGTTGCAGAGTTAAGGGTTTCGGGTTTAGGATTTAGGGTCTAGGGTTTAGGGCTGAAGGTTGAGGGTTTAGGGTTTAGGGTTCAGTTGGTTTGTAATTAAGGCTTGGGGGGTTTAGGGAAAATATAGGGTTCTATAGGATTGAAGGGTATACTATAAGGGCCTCAACAATTGTCCACGGTTTTGGGAGAGATTAGCACGCAAATGTCTTAGATACGAGAGAACCCTAGACCGCCATGCTGGGGTTTAGCGTGGGTTAGGGCTGTAACGGTTAAGGAATGTTAGGGCTTTAGGTTGTTTTTAGCTTTTGAGTGCTCTACGGTGTACCTTTCAAGGTTTGGGGTTTAGGTGTGTTTGGAGACTGTTTTGGAGTTCTTGACGGGTTCCTTAGGATTTAGGGTTTAGGGGGTTCCATAACGGTTCTCGACGGGTTCTGTTGGGATTCTATGAGCTCTCCGGTTCCCGGCTTAGCGGATGCCGGTGTGATGTGCCCTAAACCCTAAACCCTAAACCCTAAACCCCTAAACCCTGCCGTCTTTCCCGAAATTCTTCCTCGGTCTGGTTCGATTTGTGGTCGAGTAGCACCCAACCCTTTATCTGTGGAAGGCTTGCCTTATTTTCCATGTCCAGAAACGTGATGGAGTTCACATCCAACTGGTAAGATCTACGGTTTCCCGTCGACACGGCATAACAGGGACCCGAATAACTTCCGTATCAGAGCTTGTAAAAAATGCCCAATCCCAAACCGGCAACCTGAACCTCCAAGCTTTAAAGCTTAAACTGTTCGATTAACCTGTTACCCCGACCCTCAACTCAACATAGGGGCCTTCAAGTAGAATTGGGGTTTGGGGGGACATTCGAAGCATTTGGGTTCCAAGTGGTTTGGGTCTATAGGGCCGAAAGAATTAGAATCTGGTTCTGGGGCCCGTAAACCCTAAACCCATAATATACTATATTACATTAGGAACCCTACGGGTTTGTGTTGGGGATTATTCAGGCTGCTGTAGTATCCTCGACTCCCTGGTAAAATAGATCTCTTCCTGAACGGTCAGATGCCATTTTTTGTATCATGGACTGAGGGGTAAGGGTTTTTGGTTGACGGTTTAGGGTTTAGGTGCTCTGCAGTGGCTTTAGGCTTCTAGGGCTTTGGGATTTCCGGTTTAGGTGTCCTGCAGTGGCTTTAGGCTTCTAGGGCTTTGGGATCGGGGATTCTGAGTTCAGCGCTTGTGGTTTTAGAGAGGGGGGTCATGGGTTTCACACGACTTCCTTATCCCTGCAACCCCGGCACCCCTCGGTTTCAACATGGCTCCAAAAGGGTGTTACTCAGAGGCTCAGGAGACATAGTAAGTAAGTAGGCTCTTTCTAGAAACCCAAATTATATTTAGTGTTTAGGGTGTAGGGTCTGGTGAGTTCAAGTAAACCCTAAATCCTTGTAGAACTCGCCAAGGAGCCCGAAAAGAGCTTTTATGAAACTCCCTCCCTCAAGCAGGCTCGGGACACGGCTGCCGCTTCGAGAACAGTGGGCTCCACGTCGGTGAGAATGCATCCTACGAGGGGCTTACGCTTCAGAGTTTGGTAGACTGGTGCGGCTTGGCTTTCAGGTGAAAGAGAAAGTTGGAATCTTCGGGTCTGTTTTTTAGTGTAGGCTTTGGGAATTGTGGGCATTCGGGCTTGAGGGTCTTACGTTTAGCTATCGGGATTGAAAATAGGTTTAGGGCTCAGGGCCGAAACCTTACCCTCAAACCCCGCACTCTACTCCTGAACCCTAAACTTTCGACCCGGAACGCCTAAACCCTAACCACCCAAATCCTAAACCCGAAGAAGCCGCCACAGTGTGGCATGTACCCAAGTGTATGTAACGGTAACACCCGCAGCCAACTGAAGAGTTGGGTCTAGGGTTTGGGGTTTCGGGTTTAGGGTTTCGGGTTTTGGGTTTAGGGTCGAGGGTTTAGGGTTTGGAGTTTCGGGTTTAGGGTTTCGGGTTTAGGGTTTCGGGCTTTAGAGTCTAGGGTTTAGGGTTTATTAGGGTTTATTAGGGTTTAGGGTTTCGGGCTCAGGGTTTCGGGTTTAGGGTTTAGGGTCTAGGGGCAAGGATCCGGCGTCTGTGTGAAGTCTCGCGAAGCTACACAGCAGTATGCAACCGAATTACTCCAACCACATCCCATGGATTGAGGGGCACATAAATAAGAACCGGGAACCTAGTGTAGGGGCCTTCATAATTAGAATAGGGTTTGGGGGTATAGTGTACTGTAATTACAAAAAGGAACCTCCAAAACCCTATTCTAATTATTAAGGCCCCTACATTAAACACTAAACCCTAAATCCAAATCCGCAGAGGCTCCCGGCAGCTCAAGTTAAGGGGCCTCGGGGCTTCTGAACGAAAACCACGACAACCTGAACCCCGAGGTGCCTCAACCCTGCACACTCACCTGCCACACCCCTAATGTAGGTGCCTTCATAATTCGAATAGGGTCTGGGGTATGTTATTGTACTGTAGTTACAAAAAGGAACCCCAAAAACCCTATAATCACAAGCCCAGATCTCCGGACCGCTTCGACGACCACCAGCCGAGTCCACCCTAACTCCTGAACCTTATGAGCCCCTGTACCCTAAACGCTCAACCCGAAAGGCCTAAACCCTAAACCCTAAACCCTAAACCCTAAACCCTAAACCCTAAACCCTAAACCCTAAACCCTAAACCCTAAACCCTAAACCCTAAACCCTAACCCGAAACTCCAAGCCACCAACCCCAAAACCCAGAATCCTTAAGCCTCAGTTTTCCGTGTCATCGACATGCCTTGCCGCCGGACCGCAGGATATGCAAATCACCACTCTTTAGTTTAGGGTTTAGGGTTTAGGGTTTAGGGTTTAGGGTTTAGGGTTTAGGGTTTAGGGTTTAGGGTTTAGGGGTTATGGTAGTATAGGACTCCACCCTAGAACCTATACCCTCATCCTCCCCCTAAGCCCTAAACCCGAAACCCCACACCCTAAACCCTCTAAAGCCCAAAAAACCCTAAACCCCACACCCTAAACCCTCTAAACCCTAAAACCAAGCTTGAAACTCTCAAGACAAGAGGCCGGTCCTGAAGCGAAGCTGGCCGCTGTAATGCCGGCGATGCCCACTCCGCACCTAGCTTCAGGGTGCCAGGGCCGCTTCTGCCATGGGTTTAGGGTTTAGGGTTTAGGGTTTGGGGTTTGGGGTTTAGGGTTTAGGGTCAAAAAATCGGTAAGAATTCCTATCTGGGCTCCGTTGACAACGTCGTATAAGGGGTCCCTGCCTTACTCCAAGAGGAGACTCGCTAACGCTGCCGGCGATCACAGCCCTTCCTCGAGACCCTAAAGCCTAAACTCAATACCCTAAACCCTGAACCCCTAAATCCTAAACCCTAAACCCTACACCATAAAACCTTGCCCCATACCCGATGTCGGACAACGCAAATAACACAACTGCTGCTCATGATTATGGCTGGTGCTCGAGGCCCCATGCATTGAAAGCGAAAACGCGTTTTAGGGTTTAGTCGGGGTTTAGGGTTTCAGGGTTTAGAGTCTTAGGGTTTCAGGGTTTCGGGTTTAGGGTTGAGGGTTAGGGTTTAGTCCAAACCGTACAGCTTCTAACCTCGAGAAACCTCGAGCCCTGAACCCTGAAACTCTGAACATCGAACTTACTAAACATCCCAAAGCCTAAGGCTGGAAGCGGTTTAGGGTTTAGGGTTTAGGGCTACATAAGCACGTGCAGAACTCAAGCTTTAGGACCAACCGTCGAGCCCGAAATCCGAAACGTCTTGAACCAAAAAAAAAAAAAGAAAGAAGCCAAGGCACCCCAGCTCCAGCACCACCTGGCCCGCTAAAGGGTAGCCCAGCAGCTCCCGCGCCTCGGGTCCGCAGGACATCGTAGCCTTAATGCATTCATGTTTAGGATCCGGAAGCCTCCCAATGAAAAATTCGAGTGTGCCTATGGCCGGAGGCATCACTATGCTCCGACTCCCGACGATCGGACGCATGAATCGCAATTTCTTGAGAAACAGGTCGGGTTGTAAGGATTCGCTCAGGGGCTTGAGGGTTGAACCTCAGGGCTTAGGAGTTTCAGACATGTTGGAGCACAGTTCGAAGGGAATCTTAGAGTGGTCTTCCTTCTGGCCTCTTCCGCTTGTTTCCGTCCCCGGACACTGGAAGAAGATGAAAACAGCTTGGCTTGCTGAGGGGAGGATAAGGTCCTGCAGCAGAGCTGCCTCACAGCTAACGCCAAGCTTAGCACAAGATACATGCAATGGGTACTCCCCCCCCATACAGTAAGAGTCGATGATAAGGGTACTGTGAAGGGCACTGTATATCCCTCCCCCCAATACGACACCGAAACCCTGAACCCTAATTAATAATGTGAACCCTAAACCCTAAACCCTAAACCTTCTGAGCCAAAATATGAAGATGACGCAACTGTTACTGAGCGGTGGCAGCACGCACCCAACACAGCCATCCTCCAGGTTTATTGTTTAAGGCTCAGGGTTCTGATCACCCTAAACTAGCCTAAACCCTAAACTCTAAATCCTACCACCCTAAACCCCAAACTCTCATTCCAGAACTCTAAACACCAAACCCTAAACCCCCAAACCCTAAACCCCGAAACCCTAAACCCAAAAACCGAAACCCCAAAACCCCGCAAGCAAAAACCAACGCCCGAGGCCCCGGGCCAGAAGAAGCTCAGAGGACCAGAGGCGCCCTCCAGTCTGCAAGTAGCGGCCGTGGACCAAGTCCTCTTGCTTAGAGTTTAGGGTCTAAGGTTTAAGGTTTAAGGTTTAGGGTTTAGGGTTTAGGGTTTAGGGTTTAGCGTTTAGGGTTTAGGGTTTAGGGTTTAGGGTTTAGGGATTAGGGTTTAGGGTCTAAGGTTT